AAAAAGGAATTAAATTTTTTCTACTCACACCAAGGAATGTTGAAAATTGAAATCCATCAAACATGGAATTTAAAGGATTCTATGCCTATGGGATCAAACTCCATCCATTTTGACAAGGCAACCAAACACGGCAGCCATGGAAAGGAATCTTAAATTCCAACACCAAGCAAACATGACCAAAGATTGCAATTCTTTTGATAGATCTCATCCCTTGAGAAAACATATTGTGAATCATGCACCCTCGTAATATCCTTTCCTGTGAATTCCGGATTTAGAATTCAAAGTAGTTGCTACATTCCATAAACATAAAAAGAAAGGGTAAAGAGATTTCTTGCTCGTTTCAACCTAAAACATGCAAAAGTTATGTTGTTTAAGTAATTTGTAGCTTGATTGTCAATGCCAATACTTTTGTTGTTTATGCTAAACCCACCCACCATATGAAAATGGAATCAAAATGATTTGGAGACAGACCTTAAATCCAGATTTCTCAATAGCAATTGCAACAGCTTGAAACTGTGGGTAATCCTCCAACTTGGAAATAACATATGATCGCCCAATCTGCAAAGAAACTTAAGAGAAACAAGATTACGATCATGGCATGCTGATAGATCCTTGTTGAATCTATCATATACTCCAGGCATTGTAAAGCTCACACTAACAGAAATTCTTGATAATATTCATAAAGATGGTTTTCTCACAATTCTAGAGGTGAGAGTCTCTCCAAAAGAAGAACAAAGTTCTCTTACAGATTAATTCTTAGCTATCTCACTCCTATAACTAACTACTATATGTATACTACTACTACTAAAGAAAAGGACAAAAGGGAATAACATCTTAGCGAGGTGATATCCCCACTACTTTGAATCACCACTAACTCTAACCTGCAAAATAACTAAATAAAAGACCGAACTACACCTAGACCAAAATAATTATAATAAAGCAGATCAACTAGAAGCACTCTAGGATTACTTGGGGCTTATCAATACCGGCGTCCCAAACTTTCACCTTGTCCTCAAGGTGAACATCCAGAACCCTTAGTTTCATCTTCTTGAATTCTTCCCACGTTGCTTCTGCTTCCGGAAACCTTGGCCACTGCACCAGCCATTCCATTTCATTATTGTTGCTATTTTTTTAACTTTCATCCCTTTAAGGTGGATAAAAATGGTCAATATCACCCAAATTCTAACATACAACCTTGTTATCTTTGCTTCCTCAGTATTGCTCTGATTTGTAGTTATCACATCCACTTGCTCGACCTCAGTTAGCACATCAATATTTTCTTTATCAGCATCACCCTTCTCAACAAAAAATTGAACCCATTCCTTCCCATGCAATCTGTTATTTTCACCGTATGCATAATAGATTCCAGAAACAACATGCATAGCACCCACAACTTCTGGGCTTTTTCCCATCCTATCTAAGCTAATTATGTCTCCAACAGTTTCTGGTTTCTTCCCCATCCAGATGACAGCAGACCTTGATACATTCTTCCCTTTACTAGGAATCTCAAGTTTTTCTTTCTCTCTTTCTTTATCAATCCTAGTCAAAATCTCAGCCAACTTCACAACCAAACAATGCAACATCAGAGCATATACAGTTCCAATCTGACCCACAGGGTTCATGATAATCACATAAGAAATAAAATTTGCAGCACCCATTGCATGAACTTTCTTGAAATTCGAAGCAACATAACCTCCTTTTAGATACTTTACCTCCCTACTATTTGCACTAAATCTTTCATTATCACCTGGTAAAGCTTTTAGAAATGCCTCTTGACAAGGAGATTTTTCATTAAAGATGCGGTTCTGATGTTGAAGCATTTTGTCGAACGGTTGGAGTGCCTGGTCCATCATTCCTTTCTGGAGGTACAACATCAAAATCCCAGATAAGTAGTCTTCGGCAGCAAGCTTGAGGGGGTCTTCTTTTCGTATTTCAGAAGTTGAATTGGAACTGTACATCGATAGAGATGATGATGAATTGTGTGTGTGTTGCATTTGATTCAACGAAAACTCCATACTCATATCTAGATTTAAGATTATAGGAAACAACGATGCAGGTGGTGCTAAAGTAGGAGTTACGAACGTAAGAGTTGGCGCCAAGTTCGCCGACTGTGGGATTGAATGCGTACTCAGTGATTCAATCTCACATGGGCTGCTGAGGGTCTCTTTAGCCTTAGATGATTTACTAACAATTGGGCTTAAGTTAGAGTGTTTACCTTTCATCACGTCCATTGTCTGATTAGGTGAGCCCCTTTAAATTCGGCCCAAATTTCTTTTTGAAGCCCACCTTTGTGTTCACCTAGATGTTTCGTTTCACAGACGTCGCTTAACGGAGCCGCTATCTCCCATTGACGCTGTGAGTATTCCGTTTGCTTCCTGATCTGCGAAAACACACAACATCGCCCGGTGGCTCCCGTTTCTAAATGGTTTTCTGCTACCGGAATTTCGCCATTTGGATTCGTCCATACCAGAGTCCCCATGTTCAACATCTGGTTCGATCCTTCCTGGTCCAGAGCTGATTTTCTCATTACTCCTTCTGATTGAAATATCACCGGTGATGGTGGTGGTGAAGGTGAATGTGGCGGCGACAGGGGAGGGCAAGGTGGCTGTGACAGCATAGGTGGTTGTGGTGCCTTCTTTGGTTTTGATTCCGACTCAGGAACTTTTCCACCTAAGTTCTTCATCTCATTCTCTTTTCTGCTCTCATACCCTAGAGATGGCGGAGACGACAGCGGGGTTGGTTGTTTCGGCGGCAGCGCTGCTGGTGGAAACTGCGACGGTGGCTCGGATTCCAATTCCAACTCAGAAAATTCCGATGATACTTCATCTTCCTCCTCGTGGGCTGTCTTTCCTTCGCTAGTTGCTTCAAATTCCGACAGTGATGACGATGGTGTGGTCTTGCATTCTGATTCTGACTCATAAACTTTGACGGATGCTTCTTCCTCCTCATGGTCTACTTTCTCCTTCTCCTTCAAGCTTGAGTAGTAAATTTGTCTCCATTTAGCCTTCTCAGCCTCCATCCCTTCCTCTGAGTAGTAATATTTTTTCATTTCTGCTATTTTAGCTTCTGTCTCTTCTTTTCTCTTTATCTGGTTCTGACGATGCATCTCCATTATCTTCACCATCTCTAGCAACTCCGTTCGGATGATCTTCAGCTCTTCCTGGTCCTTTGCTTGTTGTTGAATCCACAGAGATTGTTGTTGTTCATTTGCTATCATTGTTTCCCCAGCATCAACTGCTCTGATACCAATTGATAGATCCTTGTTGAATCTATCATATACTCCAGGCATTGTAAAGCTCACACTAACAGAAATTCTTGATAATATTCATAAAGATAGTTTTCTCACAATTCTAGAGGTGAGAGTCTCTCCAAAAGAAGAACAAAGTTCTCTTACAGATTAATTCTTAGCTATCTCACTCCTATAACTAACTACTATATATACTACTACTACTAAAGAAAAGGACAAAAGGGAATAACATCTTAGCGAGGTGATATCCCCACTACTTTGAATCACCACTAACTCTAACCTGCAAAATAACTAAATAAAAGACCGAACTACCCCTAGACCAAAATAATTATAATAAAGCAGATCAACTAGAAGCACTCTAGGATTACTTGGGGCTTATCACATGCTATAAAAACAACTTGATTTAAGAATAATAATAAACATAAAACTTACTGTTCTGCCCAGAAGGAATGCTGCAGTTGCACCAATCACAGCACCAATGGAGTCAGCAAGAAAACCGATAGGCAAACCGAAGAGATAACCACCACCCAGCTGGAAGGGAAGAAACACAAGTATACTATCACATACACATACACATACTTGCTTTTGGGTGTTGAAATGAACTTACAGTAAGTACTGATGCAGGAACTGCCAGAACTGTTAAAGGAACATATGCAACAGCCCTGCAGCAGGGTCAGTTCGATTAGACTAGTTATGATTATGTTATGCCAATTGCCAAGCCAAGAAAGTTTCAAGTTATAACTACACACACACAGTCACAGAATCTAAAAGTTTTAATCAATGCAATGGTGAATGTTAGTGATTGTGCCCCGAGGTATGCTGTATTAGACAGACATGGATATCTTGATTCAATAAAGAACATTATCATTAGTATACATCACATATTATTGCTTCACCATTGTTCAAATGTATATTTCACACGCCTTTACCATCGTTCTGTCACTAATTGCATAATAAACATCATGATAAATGCCGGACTGGAGACAAAAGTTTAACAAAAATGTTCATTTGAAACTAAAATCAAGACAAAGTAATGATCCTAGACGTTCATGGGTAAAAAGATGTGTGTTGCTATTATGGGGAAAAAAAAAAAAAAAAAAAAAAAAAAAAAAAAAAGAGTAAACTGCCCATACTAGAAGCAAGAGCAAAGTACATTGCTATTAGCTGCAATCTTCCCTTGTAGCTTAGTGGGTGAGTAAAGCCTTCTGATATCATCATATTTTATTTATTAGAATATTACAATAAACTTTTTTTTTACATTTGTGACATTGGGGACACAGGCCTTCATTTGTTATCTGGATATTGGTTCCTTAAAGTTTCTGTTAAAGTAGCAACCCCATGATGCAATATATATATATATATATATATAGATATATATATATATATATATATATATATATATATATTAAAAAAATACATAGTAAAGAAATATAACTGCAGTAGCTGACAGTGAATTGGGCAGCTAAATCTGATTGCTACCTCTACCTCTCCCACTGAAGTGAATGGTTAGTGAGACGAAAGATGATGTCATGTCCAAGTATTTGAGTGTGGTGATTGTGAACATGAACTTATGCGAGAATCCCACAAACTCGATACTCAAAAAATATTTAAGGAAGTTTGTTTTTGTTTTTTGTACACCAAAGGTATTTCACCCAGAAGAATTCTTTATTTGTTGAATAGTCTATGCAGCAGCCAAGCGGACTATTTCAGTCATGCGGAATTGAAGACATAGTTAAACTTAAACGACATCAACCTAATATAAGGGAATTAAGGATATTCTTGAATCAGTTTCTAAAGTATTATTATCTTGAATTACTCAAGAAATAAAGTTTTAATTCAGGGAAGGGATTTGATATCCCAAATTCTTGTTCTAGCACTTGTGAACTTTGAGTTGTGTACTCTTTCCAAAAAAAAAAAAAAAACTTTGAGTTGTGTGGAAGTTGCTTGATCCAAAACAAACTTTAAATAGCAGACTTGATACTGAGAGAGAGAGAGAGAGAGGTGTTTGTGTTATTAAGACCGACCGATCATCATGCTCTTCAGCATATTCTCGACCACAAAGAATGTGAATGTAACCCTATACCACATAAATGTTAAGTAAACCAATGTTGGGTTGCAGACACAAAGAGCAATGCAATTTCAAAAAGAGCCCTCTCCAGTTGTTTGGCTATTTCAGATATGTTCACTACAACAAAACTGCACTTAGTGTTGCAATAGATGGTAAAACTCCAGCACTTACAGATGTTCTTAAGGACAGCCCTACTGTGGTAGGAAAATGCCACTTACTACGTACATATGATGGATCGATCATTGATGATAAAAAGAAGCTTAAACTTTTTCATACCATAGCAGTATAGCCGCAACTCAAGTCTGAAACTGTCCAACAAGCAGTTTCCCTGTGGTAATTGAGATTCCAGAAATTTTTTGGATCCTGGTCTGAATGGATTTTGTTATCGAAAGACCGAGTAAGTTTGACCACTTCCAAGCATTTACACAATACACAGTAGTAGCTACTAGACTTTTTATGAAGCAAGTATCGAAACTATACGGGAAGCTTGACATAATCAATAACAGATTCCTTGCTAACTAAGTTTTGGAAGGGTCCCTCCGCCTACTACTTCTGGATGGGTCATTAAACGGCTTCCATTAGCACACTAGTGACTAGCCATACAACGTTCCAGGCTTTGAATGTCCCCCTATCACTATCAGAGCCTTTTCTGATCCAACTCCCGAAGCCTACATTTGTTACCACTTTAACTTTCTACCAATACCACCGTTGTTGCAGCAGACAAAGAGAGACTACGGCACAAACATTAGAGCATCCAGAATAGGAGCTTTTTCAAGAGCTTATTGGCCGGGTCAATTCAAATAAGCTGTTCAAACTCAAAAAAAACCTACTGTGGAAGCTTATTAAATTCAAAATAGCTTGTAAGTTGTAAAGTTACAAGCATTGGACATGAGCTTTTTCAACGACTGTGGTGTTTAATTTCAAAAAATTCTAAATAGACAACTTATACAAACTATCACAAATAAGCAAATGCCAAAAGGTCTCCTGTTGAGCTTCTTCATAAATAAGCTCCACCAAACATCTCTCATGTTGTGGATGAAACATTTGCATTTGCAGTGGGAGATCAGGTTTAATTTGAGTTAATGTATTAATTTATTATTGTTTGGTACCACTAATATGGACTTTTGAATGTTTGGAATAAAAAGTGCTTATTGATCAATTGTTTCCTTCTAACTTATTTAAAGGTGTTCATACTTCAGGATCAGTATGTCGGAACCTACTAATCCTTTGTTTTAACCCTAAAAATAATATGTATCGGATCGTAGTCTCCTTGTTTTCATGACCATAGACGCAACGCACATGCCAATTTACCCTTTCATCCCTGTCATTGTACATGTATATGCAGAATTTGCCAAGCACTAAAAAACAATTCATCAGTTTACTGCGTTTTGGTACCGCATAATCTAAACCACGCACTTTTACAAAAATAAAAAATAGAAATCAAAAAAAGCATTAAGTTATTTAAACACGCCCTCAGTGAACACGAGAAATTGGCAACCTTACACAATTGTCCAGGAGATGAGACAGGGCAGTTGTATACAAGCTGGAACTTCCCTACCACCTAGGCTAAGATATGCAATTTACTTTATGTTTCTCTTCTGAAAAGGAGAGTAGGAAGTAGGGAGGGCGTCACACTCACACCGTTTCGACTTTTTAACTTGAAGAAGGTGGTCACCAGATCTACCATTGGAAATACTAGACAAGAAAAACACAGCCAACTCACAGGTTTTGCTACTTCAATGGACAAACTCACAACACTTGGGATCTTTCAGAATTTGACATTTGAGCTAATCATAATCCTTGAGGAAAAGGGTTACTGATACCAACTCATTTTATTAATTTGTAACATTAAAGTAATCTTTTTTTAATTTGCTCGTTTTTGGACCACATATTGTAATAATTTGTGCTCTGGGTATTAGTTCCTTAAAGTTTCTGTTAGGATTTTCATATTTTAGATTTGGCCGTGAGATATATGGTAATAACTATCTGATGTAATGGTATCTTATTTTTCATATTTCAGAAATACAATCGTGCCTGGTAGCTAAATCTGATTGTTAGCCATCATCTTTTAACCACTCTACAGTCTACATAATCCCATCCTACTCACTGTAACAACTGATAATAAGTTGATCAAACATCTATGATTGAATTCTAAGAAGACAAACAATTTTTGAAGCCAAGTAATACCTCAGATTCACACAAACAGTGATATTGGTCTACTTACAATACAAGAGGACCCCAAGGACCAAGATCTTGCTCAACCCATAACAAGAAGTCCTTCAATATCTGGAAAAAAAAAATCGCAAAAAGTATAAACAATAAATAACTTCTACAGAACAGACGCTTCAAGTTGGAAAAATACAACTAGAACAAACAAATAATTCGCCTGCTCATCTCCAATGAATCAGAATTGGAAATGAAGCCCAAATTACAGGGAAACCAGATGGTTGTGAATTGGAAACAAGTAAATTTGGTAAAACAAATAAAGTAAAAAATTGAAGATGCAATGAAATGATAAAAACTTAAATCACGCAAAAAAAAAAAAAAACGATGATTCAGCTAAAGCAAGATAAGATCCAAAATGCTTAGATAAATAGATGATGACCTTTTCAACGGGCAGAGTAAAGCAAGCGACGGTGATGGCGGCTACGAGGAGAAGAAGGAGAGTAATTCTAAGAAAGGAAACCCAATTGAACGACGCCATTAATTGATTATGTTGATAAAAAGAGCCTCCTCCACGCTGCTCGTCGCCTTTCTTATTTTCTGCTGCGGTGGTTTGCTTTGACGATGAGCATTGCCTCAAACCCTCGGTCACGTGTTCAGAATTCCAGGATACCCAAATGTTGGATCATAGATTCATATAGGGACCAACATTTGACCACCACGGAACACCCGAACCCCAACAGGAACCGATGTAATTTGTTAGGTTTGGGCTCTTCGTTCGGGTTGGAATTAGAATAGGGCAGTCTTTACCTTTTGAGAACTAAGCAAGAGGCCCTAATTCTAAAAAAACTAGCGCCCTAATTCTAAAACTAGCGCCCTAATTCTAAAAAACTAGCCAACATAGCCGGTAGCTATTAGTGGGTAACGTTTGATTTTGAAGTGTTTTGTAGTTTTTTTTATGTTAGAGTGTTTTTTTTTTTTTTAGGTTAAAAGTTAGGGCTGTAAACGAACCAAACGAATACGAACAAGGTCTTGTTCATGTTCGTTCGTTTAAGTTAGTCGAACAACAAACGAACACGAACGGATAAACGAACGAGATTTTTTTGTTCATGTTCGTTCGTTTAACAAATTACTTTGTTCATGTTCGTTCATTTATGTTCGTGAACATGCTAAACGAACATAAACGAACAAAGATAAAAAAAAAAAAAAAAAACACAATTGAACATATATGAACATAAACGAACATATAATATAACAATATAATAAAAAATAATTGAATACAGATGAATATAAATAAACTTAAACGAACGAACATAAACGAACGTAAATGAACATCGTAAACGAACGTTCACGAACATAAATGAACGAACGAGACCATTGTTCATGTTCGTTCATTTAACTAAACGAACGATAATTTTTGTTCATGTTCGTTCATTTATTAAATAAACGAACATAAACGAACTTCCCGCCGAACAGTTCACGAACGGTTCGCCGAACGTTCAGTTCGTTTACAGTCCTATTAAAAGCTAAACGCTTATGTAAGAATGGCAAAAAAAAACCCAAACCCGACGGAAAAACCCGAAACTCAATCATTTCGGGTCGGGTAACGGGTCGTTATCGGGTTTGAGACAGGGAGTGGGTTATCCTCGCCCCACCCCGATTATATATATATATATATATCCTTTTGGTGTTAATTGCTCGCATTTAAAGAAAAAATAATTACTGTCGACAATCTTTTTAGTTTTTAAATTATGGTGTGAATGATCATTATTTATGTTTTGACGTATTACACTAAACTTAAATCAAATAATCTTTTTAGTTATTAACAATTATTTATGTGTTGATGTATTATATTAAACTTAAATCAAATAATTTTTAATATAACATCTAGTTTATTTTATTAAAGTGATGCATCATATTTTTAATTTAAAAGGAATGCTAGAACATGTATTTTTTATAAGACGCCGGGGTATCCTAAAACGAAATAAAGATTTTGTTATGAATTGTTATAAACCCAATAAGATACCCGAAACCCGACAGGAAAACCCGAACCCAACGGGGAGCCCCGATAAGATACCCGAAAAATATCGAGGCGGGTTTGGGAAACCATGCCCCGCCCCGTTGCCATTCATACGCTCATGTCGCCAAACGAGACTTTTTCTTTTTTGCTAGCGCTTTCTTAAAAGCTAAAAGTCAGAAATTCTAAAACGTTGCATACCGAACACGCCCTAAATGACCCCAATTTTAAAACTTATCCTGTTATATATCCCAGTCGCAAACTTGAAGGGCATAATCGAGATTAAACATGTCATTGAAAAATTCAATGAATCTCAAAAGATCTAGAAGTTTCAATTCATTTAAAACGTAAACTTCCTTTCTGTTTTTCATGGTGGAAATTAGTAAATCGTCATTTACATACCTTCAAATATTCTGCAACTAGATTACGGCATCCCTTTTCTAGGTTGTAGAGTATTGTGTTGGATCCTAGCCTTAATAATTCATTTGGTTGTTTTATTAAGGACTCAATCAACTTAACTTGAGTTTTTCTCCCGTTTTGTAGATGTCAAACAACTATGGTTTTCCTAAATCCCTTGGAACAAGTTTTCCAAACGAAGATGATATTCCACGATATGATCGAGGAACAAGAAATCATGTTTCACTTCCTCCACCTCCTCTAATTGTTCTCCCTAACCCACAAGTTCGAAGGCTTGAAAAGTTCAAGCTCACTCAAACCCTTTTGGCAAGTAAACACGAAGATGGGAAACATGTGTGTGCACACGTCTTAGAGATGAAGTCACACATTGACAGGTTAAGGATGTTGGGTGTCGAGATTTCAGGTGAGTTGGCTGTTGACTGGGTTCTTCAGTCACTTCCTGAATCATATAGTGAGTTCGTAAGAGAGTACTATATGATGGAACACGACGTGACCCTAATTGATCTCACTTATTTGCTTATAGCTGCTGAATCAGCAATGATTTGGCGTGCTGGTCAAGCAAATTTGTCTGGTGAGTCAAACTCCCAAGATTCAATGGATACTGGAAACATTGGAAGTCCAGAAAGGACTGAGTATGAGATTGTCCCATGTAATGTGCCAAAGGAGTCCATTTGCTTTTATTTCCAAGAGAAAGGGCATTGGAGACGAAGCTGCCTTGTTTACCTGAGAGATCTAAGAGATGGGAGAGTCAAGATGTATGGATCTACTTCAGGTAAAATCCATTAACTAACTCTATAAGTTCCTAATTTTGATTCTTAATACATGATGTGATAAGATTACATTATGATGTTTTACAGGATCGAAGAAAAGAAAGGAAGCTTAAGGAAGAAGTGTGTTGAATCTAATCACGAAGAAATGGATTTCGATCGCATGGATTCAAAAATTGGATTTTTGAGCTGCTACTTTAGAGTTAGGGTAAATTGCTAAGAAATATGTAATATCATAGTTTTTCAGTTGAATTGCATTGTAATGACAAGTTTTTCCGCAATAAAATAAATTTTGATTTTGTCTTATTTATTTATCCTTGCGATAGTATGTATGAAAAATTGATGTTTGTGTATTTCTATTATTAGCAATAATGGATTTGATTCTTAATTATGTTATTTGTGGAAATTTACCAAATAGAGAGATTTTCTCATCACTCAAGTCTCAATTGGTTAGAAACTTGGAATCATACAACTTGGTTGCGTGATGAATGAGAAACTTCATATTTGGAAATTAGACTAATTCTTTGACAAAGTGTCAAGTGAAGGACTAGGAGATCGAGTACACTAGGTTGTGCGTTGATCAAATCCACCACATGAGTGATAAAGATATTCGTCATGATTTACTAAAGTTTAGTAAATATGGTTATACTTATAAGATTAAATATAATTCTAAGTTGATTGAAAGAGTTTCAATTAATAGCAGAACGAATAAGAAGAATCTAGTAGGCATAAAGATAAAAGTTTCTCTATTCTAAGAAGAAGGGAGAGTAACTTTTATTGTGTTTTATGATAGGTCTTAATGATTAAGAACCATGTATCAATTGATCCTCTAAGCGATTCTTAGTGAAATTGCATGCCTAAGAAGAGGAATCGAGAATTGTAGAAATGGTTAAATCAAGAAGTCAATCATATTTCGTTCCAATATCAAGTCTTAGAGTCAAGATTGTGACTTGAGTGAAAGGTCTTAAGTAGGTTTGTAACACTTATCAAATGTAGAATAGGAAAGTTTCTTATTTATATACATTTGAAATTGGTAAGTTGTAATGTCTTGGAAAAGTGAAAGATCAACTAGGACCAATTTTGTGAAGTGTTTTGTCTTGATAAAAGCTACACCAACTCTTGAATATTTGTTTGTCTAGAAATGTTTCTTGATAAGAGAACCTTATATGTCAAGGAGTCAGTGGGAGTTTGAATGGTCTTGAAACGGTTCAAGAACAAATCAAGAGTTAAACCTAGTTGATCATCACCAGCACACGACTTGAGGTTTACAACATATCGTGTTGACATTGTTTTGTTTATGTGCCATTCCAATTGAGTTAATTATGTATGTGAGTTCTATGAGTTCTCATTTGGATGCATAAAGACAAAGCACCTTGATCGATGGAAAGTACATTAATATGTAAGGATAAGTTTCTAAACTACTTGGAAGACATGGTGGGCACTCGTGTTACCATAAGGCAAGAAATCAAGATTAAGAAGGTTCAGTCCATATAAGATTAGATGTGTCGCAAACTTTGGTTTTGGCAAATTCAAATGGATAGGGACTCATACACCATAAAATCTAAGTGTCATAAGATTCTCTCCTTCATGAAAATGACTGTGAGGAAATGCTTTCACTAAGAGAGATTTTAAGAAGATAGCAATTGTGAAATTATATTCTCAAATTCGATTATGGTTATGGCATCCCTTTCCATAGTTCGAATTGTGATATTTGGCAATTAGTCTAACATTTGGGACTTATTGATATAAGTTATGAATTGTTTAGACACACATATGAGCTATCTCAGGCAAAGGTGTATAAGTTTAAGAAGCTTAGATAAAGGCTTATCGAACCATCTGGTATTAGAAATATGAACTTCAGAAATTCAATAAGCATTGTTTTCTGGAAGTTCAGCCGTTCTCAGAATACATGTCAAAGCTAGTGGGAGCATAAGTGTTATGTTTATATGATAATAATCATCATGATAGTGGGAGCATAAGTGTTATGCTTGTATGATTATTATGGCAAGTATTGCAAGTTAGCAATATTAATTATAGAAAAACAAAGATCCAATTTGCAAAGTTGCATGGGTTGAAAAGTTATTTTGCTATAATTAAGGGAGAGAATATTATACTCCATTTCAAATCTAAAGGCTTAGATTGTGAAATTTTTATCAAATTTAGTCAAATATATATATATATATATATATATATATATATATATATATATATATATATATATATGAATATTGTGTTGGAATGGTTCAACATGAGGAAATTCTATATATGGAAAGGATAATTGCATTCTCAAAATTTGGTTATGATTACGGTATCCCTTTTTATAATCAAATTTGGGAGAACATGGAAATTAGAAATATTATAGCAAAAGACTGGTAAAAGTATCACGTCTTTATGTAAGACATTATGAATCGTGTCCCACACGCCTCGGGTATAGGATCGATTGTATATGCTATAATGTTTGATCCTTCTAAATTTTTCATTATGCTTAGCACATTAAGAGGGAAAGGGAACTAGAGCGGTTTTTGACTTAAATAATTAAACAACGATCAAAGGACGATCTAAGGTTCGCCAAGGATTTGTTGCTTGTGAGTAGTTGGAAGTATAATGTTGGATGGACCATATCAACATTATTA